AGAACGAAACTCTCGAGTGCGGAATGGCCACAACTCAAGCTTAAACGAAACTCTCGAGTGCGATATCTGTGTTCGGCATAGTCTTGACGAAAGTTTTGAATGGCAACGTCTGCAATGCAGCAAAGGTTCAACAGACGGCTGCATCATGTCCATAGGCATAGTGCTATGGACTTCCTGCACGGTATTAGCAGTACAGAGGGACCTGGGTCTGCAGCTCCTCAGCCTTTGACATTACATGTACATGTATTGTGCCATGCAGAATGTCAAAATAGGTTGACTTCTTGAGGGGTCTGACCTTATCTGGATGGCAGTTGGAGAGACAGATAACTGTCAATAGAGCAGTAAACGCACTCATTGTATTTAGCAACATGCAGCTTCCCGCGTACAGCGGAAGTCATTACAGTCGGGTCATAGTGTCCTCCAGCATGGCGTAAACGCTGATCAGCTGGTCAGCAGACAATATCAACGCGAATGAGCAATGCTCTACAGGCTTGGTCTGGATCAGCAAGTGCCACACAAATTCGGGCTGCAACAAGTGGGGAGTTTGGGAAAATGTTGAAGCGTGACTTCCCACGAACCCATAAACTGCAACAACTCTTTTTTTTATGATTAATTACCATTATTCATTGATACACACTTTAACGGACATAATGGCTGTCTGTGGAAGTGTTTTGAATTTCGTACCCTTGTTTTGAAATCGTATTCTGAAAAATGTCCACTTGTGTTTCTTTCCATGCTTTCTTGCAAATCAATAAAATTAATGTTGTTAGCAGAGTTTTTGGATTTCGCACCTTTGAGAATCTTATTCCTTAAAAATCCACTATGTTTCTTTCCATGTTTTCTTGCAGGTTGTGAGCATGGTATAGGAGCATTCAGAAATGGAGAGACTTGGATGGATGGCTCTTCTGGTTGTAAACAATGCCGATGTGATAACGGAAATGTACAGTGTGATCGCATAAATGTGGAGTGTCCGTCAGAGGCATTTGGTGTCCCATTGCCATGCCCTGCTGATGCAGTCATACCTGCCCAGGACGCATGTCACTGTCCCAGGTGCCCAAGCACGGAAGGTATGGGTGGATCCTAATTAGAAGAAACTCTCAAATAAACACCATAGTTCAAATTCAAAAGCAACTGGCTCCATGTCGTGTATTTGAGCAATGGATGACGAGCTATCAACTTTCTTTGCCATTACAAGAGCATGGTCTTCTATTTTCTGTCATCACTCATAGCGCTAGGCATAGCTGAATTTCTCCGCTTGGGATTTTGCTCTTTCCTATGCCTCATGATATCAGGTGGAAATCCAGGAGATGGAAGTCCAGGAGATGGAAATCCAAGCGATGGAAGTCCAGAAGTCGGAAGACCAGGAGGTGAAAGCCTAGAAGGTGAAAGCCCAGGAGGTGGAAGCCCTGGTGGTGCTCGTAAGTTGAATAGGCGACGAATTGTATTCAAGATTGGCAGGTTTTCTCTGTTCTATGGCAGTTGCACTTCTGTACGGATATAATGAAATACTTGCCAAACAAATTGTGCAATGCTCTATGTGAATGGCTTTTAAACTAGCTGCCCAAACCGCTAAAACGTTTCTGCCAGAGGTTGGATTCCTTACAAGCGAAGTACCTGCGACAGTGCTGGATGATTTGGAGAATTAATCTGTGCTGGAAACTCCATTTCAAGGGAATAATTATGTCAAATCAAAAAAATTAATGCTGTTAGCAGAGCTTTTGGATTTCGTGTGTTTGAGAATGTCATTCTTTAAAATTCCACTATGTTTCTTTCCATGTTTTCTTGCAGGTTGTGAGCATGGTATAGGCGCATTCAAAAATGGAGAGACTTGGATGGATGGCTCTTCTGGTTGTAAACAATGCCGATGTGATAACGGAAATGTACAGTGTGATCGCATAAATGTGGAGTGTCCGTCAGAGGCATTTGGTGTCCCATTGCCATGCCCTGCTGATGCAGTCATACCTGCCCAGGACGCATGTCACTGTCCCAGGTGCCCAAGCACGGAAGGTATGGGTGGGTCCTATTAGAAGAAATTTTCAATTAAACACCATAGTTCAAATTCAAAACCAACTGGCTCAATGTAGTGTATTTGAGCAATGGATGACTAGCTATCACCTTTCTTTGGCATTACAAGAGCACGGTCAATCTATTTTTTGTAATCACTCATAGCGCTAGGCATAGCTGATTTTCTCCGCTTGGATTTTTGTTCTTTCCCATGCTTCATGACATCAGGTGGAAGTCCAGGAGATGGAAGTCCAGGAGGTGGAAATCCAAGCGATGGAAGTCCAGAAGTCGGAAGCCCGGGAGGTGAAAACCCAGGAGGTGGAAGCCCTGGTGCTGGTCGTAAGTTGAATAGGCGACGAATTGTATTCAAGATTGGCATGTTTTCTCTGTTCTATGGCAGTTGCATTTCTGTACGGATATAATGCAATACTTGCCAAACAAATTGTGCAATGCTCTATTTGAATGGCTTTTTAACGTGCTGTTCAAACCGCTAAAACGTTTCTGCCAGAGGTTGGATTCCTTACGAGCGAAGTACCTGCGGCAACGCTGGATGATTTGGAGAATGAATCGGTGCTGGAAACTCAATTTTAAGGGAATATGTCAAATCAATAAAATTAATGTTGTTAGCAGAGTTTTTGGATTTCGCACCTTTGAGAACCTTATTCCTTATAAATCCACTATGTTTCTTTTCATGTTTTCTTGCAGGTTGTGAGCATGGTATAGGAGCATTCAGAAATGGAGAGACTTGGATGGATGGCTCTTCTGGTTGTAAACAATGCCGATGTGATAACGGAAATGTACAGTGTGATCGCATAAATGTGGAGTGTCCGTCAGAGGCATTTGGTGTCCCATTGCCATGCCCGGCTGATGCAGTCATACCTGCCCATGACGCATGTCACTGTCCCAGGTGCCCAAGCACGGAAGGTATGGGTGGATCCTTTTAGAAGAAACTCTCAAATAAACACCATAGTTCAAATTCAAAACCAACTGGCTCCATGTAGTGTATTTGAGCAATGGATGACTAGCTATCACCTTTCTTTGCCATTACAAGAGCATGGTTATTCAATTTTCTGTCATCACTCATAGAGCTAGGCAAAGCTGATTTTCTCCGTTTGGATTTTTGTTCTTTTATGCTTCATGATATCAGGTGGAAGTCCAGGAGATGGAAGTCCAGGAGATGGAAATCCAAGCGATGGAAGTCCAGAAGTCGGAAGCCCAGGAGGTGAAAGCCCAGGAGGTGGAAGCCCTGGTGGTGCTGGTCGTAAGTTGAATAGGCGACGAATTGTATTCAAGATTGGCAGGTTTTCTCTGTTCTATGGCAGTTGCATTTCTGTACGGATACAATGCAATACTTGCCAAACAAATTGTGCAATGCTCTATTTGAATGGCTTTTTAACGTGCTGTTCAAACCGCTAAAACCTTTCTGCCAGAGGTTGGATTCCTTACGAGCGAAGTACCTGCGGCAACGCTGGATGATTTGGAAAATGAATCGGTGCTGGAAACTCAATTTTAAGGGAATATGTCAAATCAATAAAAATAATGTTGTTAGCAGAGTTTTTGGATTTCGCACCTTTGAGAACCTTATTCCTTAAAAATCCAATATGTTTCTTTTCATGTTTTCTTGCAGGTTGTGAGCACGGTATAGGAGCATTCAGAAATGGAGAGACTTGGATGGATGGCTCTTCTGGTTGTAAACAATGCCGATGTGATAACGGAAATGTACAGTGTGATCGCATAAATGTGGAGTGTCCGTCAGAGGCATTTGGTGTCCCATTGCCATGCCCTGCTGATGCAGTCATACCTGCCCAGGACGCATGTCACTGTCCCAGGTGCCCAAGCACGGAAGGTATGGGTGGATCCTATTAGAAGAAACTCTCAAATAAACACCATAGTTCAAATTCAAAAGCAACTGGCTCCATGTCGTGTATTTGAGCAATGGATGACGAGCTATCACCTTTCTTTGCCATTACAAGAGCACGGTCATTCTATTTTCTGTCATCACTCATAGCGCTAGGCATAGCTGATTTTCTCCGCTTGGATTTTTCTCATTCCTATTCCTCATGATATCAGGTGGAAGTCCAGGAGATGGAAGTCCAGGAGATGGAAATCCAAACGATGGAAGTCCAGAAGTCGGAAGCCCAGGAGGTGAAAGCCCAGGAGGTGAAAGCCCAGGAGGTGGAAGCCCTGGTGCTGCTCGTAAGTTGAATAGGCGACGAATTGTATTCAATATTGGCAGGTTTTCTCTGTTTTATGGCAGTTGCATTTCTGTACGGATATAATGCAATACTTGCCAAACAAATTGTGCAATGCACTATTTGAATGGCTTTTTAACGAGCTGTTCAAACCGCTGAAACCTTTCTGCCAGAGGTTGGATTCCTTATGAGCGAAGTACCTGCGGCAACGCTGGATGATTTGGAGAATGGATCGGTGCTGGAAACTCAATGTTAAGGGAATATGTCAAATCAATAAAATTAATGTTGTTGGCAGAGTTTTTGGATTTCGCACCTTTGAGAATCTTATTCCTTAAAAATCCACTATGTTTCTTTCTATGTTTTCTTGCAGGTTGTGAGCATGGTATAGGAGCATTCAGAAATGGAGAGACTTGGATGGATGGCTCTTCTGGTTGTAAACAATGCCGATGTGATAACGGAAATGTACAGTGTGATCGCATAAATGTGGAGTGTCCGTCAGAGGCATTTGGTGTCCCATTGCCATGCCCGGCTGATGCAGTCATACCTGCCCAGGACGCATGTCACTGTCCCAGGTGCCCAAGCACGGAAGGTATGGGTGGATCCTATTAGAAGCAACTCTCAAATAAACACCATAGTTCAAATTCAAAACCAACTGGCTCCATGTCGTGTATTTGAGCAATGGATGACTAGCTATCACCTTTCTTTGCCATTACAAGAGCACGGTCAATCCATTTTTTGTAATCACTCATAGCGCTAGCCATAGTTGATTTTCTCTGCTTGGATTTTTGTTCTTTCCTATGCTTCATGACATCAGGTGGAAGCCCAGGAGATGGAAGTCCAGGAGATGGAAATCCAAGCGATGGAAGTCCAGAAGTCGGAAGCCCAGGAGGTGAAAACCGAGGAGGTGGAAGCCCTGGTGCTGGTCGTAAGTTGAATAGGCGACGAATTGTATTCAAGATTGGCAGGTTTTCTCTGTTTTTTTGGCAGTTGCATTTCTGTACGGATATAATGCAGTACTTGCCAAACAAATTGTGCAATGCTCTACTTGAATGGCTTTTTAACGTGCTGTTCAAACCGCTAAAACGTTTCTGCCAGAGGTTGGATTCCTTACGAGCGAAGTACCTGCGGCAACGCTGGATGATTTGGAAAATGAATCGGTGCTGGAAACTCAATTTTAAGGGAATATGTCAAATCAATAAAATTAATGTTGTTAGCAGAGTTTTTGGATTTCGCACCTTTGAGAATCTTATTCCTTAAAAATCCACTATGTTTCTTTCCATGTTTTCTTGCAGGTTGTGAGCATGGTATAGGAGCATTCAGAAATGGAGAGACGTGGATGGATGGCTCTTCTGGTTGTAAACAATGCCGATGTGATAACGGAAATGTACGGTGTGATCGCATAAATGTGGAGTGTCCGTCAGAGGCATTTGGTGTCCCATTGCCATGCCCGGCTGATGCAGTCATACCTGCGCAGGACGCATGTCACTGTCCCAGGTGTCCAAGCACGGAAGGTATGGGTGGATCCTATTAGAAGAAACTCTCAAATAAACACCATAGTTCAAATTCAAAACCAACTGGCTCCATGTCGTGTATTTGAGCAATGGATGACTAGCTATCACCTTTCTTTGCCATTACAAGAGCACGGTCATTCCATTTTCTGTCATCACTCATAGAGCTAGGCAAAGCTGATTTTCTCCGCTTGGATTTTTGTTCTTTCCTTTGCTTCATGATATCAGGTGGAAGTCCAGGAGATGGAAGTCCAGGAGATGGAAATCCAAGCGATGGAAGTCCAGAAGTCGGAAGCCCAGGAGGTGATAGCCCAGGAGGTGAAAGCCCAGGAGGTGGAAGCCGTGGTGGTGCTCGTAAGTTGAATAGGCGACGAATTGTATTCAAGATTGGCCGGTTTCCTCTATTCTATGGCAGTTGCATTTCTGTACGGATATAATGAAATACTTGCCAAACAAATTGTGCAATGCTCTATTTGAATGGCTTTTTAACTAGCTGCTCAAACCGCTAAAACCTTTCTGCCAGAGGTTGGATTCCTTACAAGCGAGGTACCTGCGACAGTGCTGGATGATTTGGAGAATTAATCTGTGCTGGAAACTCCATTTTAAGGGAATAATTATGTCAAATCAATAAAATTAATGCTGTTAGCAGAGTTTTTGGATTTAGTATGTTTGAGAATGTCATTCTTTAAAATTCAACTTTGTTCCGTTCCATGTTGTATTGCAGGTTGTGAGCATGGTATAGGCGCATTCCAAAATGGAGAGACTTGGATGGACGGCTCTTCTGGTTGTAAACAATGCCGATGTGATAACGGAAATGTACAGTGTGATCGCATAAATGTGGAGTGTCCGTCAGAGGCATTTGGTGTCCCATTGCCATGCCCGGCTGATGCAGTCATACCTGCCCAGGACGCATGTCACTGTCCCAGGTGCCCAAGCACGGAAGGTATGGGTGGATCCTATTAGAAGAAACTCTCAAATACACACCATAGTTCAAATTCAAAAGCAACTGGCTCCATGTCGTGTATTTGAGCAATGGATGACGAGCTATCACCTTTCTTTGCCATTACAAGAGCACGGTCATTCTATTTTCTGTCATCACTCATAGCGCTAGGCATAGCTGATTTTCTCCGCTTGGATTTTTCTCATTCCTATTCCTCATGATATCAGGTGGAAGTCCAGGAGATGGAAGTCCAGGAGATGGAAATCCAAACGATGGAAGTCCAGTAGTCGGAAGCCCAGGAGGTGAAAACCCAGGAGGTGGAAGCCCTGGTGCTGGTCGTAAGTTGAATAGGCGACGAATTGTATTCAAGATTGGCAGGTTTTCTCTGTTTTTTGGCAGTTGCATTTCGGTACGGATATAATGCAGTACTTGCCAAACAAATTGTGCAATGCTCTACTTGAATGGCTTTTTAACGTGCTGTTCAAACCGCTAAAAAGTTTCTGCCAGAGGTTGGATTCCTTACGAGCGAAGTACCTGCGGCAACGCTGGATGATTTGGAAAATGAATCGGTGCTGGAAACTCAATTTTAAGGGAATATGGCAAATCAATAAAATTAATGTTGTTAGCAGAGTTTTTGGATTTCGCACCTTTGAGAAACTTATTCCTTAAAAATCCACTATGTTTCTTTCCATTTTTTCTTGCAGGTTGTGAGCATGGTATAGGAGCATTCAGAAATGGAGAGATTTGGATGGATGGCTCTTCTGGTTGTAAACAATGCCGATGTGATAACGGAAATGTACAGTGTGATCGCATAAATGTGGAGTGTCCGTCAGAGGCATTTGGTGTCCCATTGCCATGCCCGGCTGATGCAGTCATACCTGCCCAGGACGCATGTCACTGTCCCAGGTGCCCAAGCACGGAAGGTATGGGTGGATCCTGTCAGAAGAAACTCTGAAATAAACACCATAGTTCAAATTCAAAACCAACTGGCTCCATGTAGTGTATTTGAGCAATGGATGACTAGCTATCACCTTTCTTTGCGATTACAAGAGCACGGTCATTCCATTTTCTGTCATCACTCATAGCGCTAGGCATAGCTGATTTTCTCCGCTTGGATTTTTGCTCATTCCTATGCCTCATGATATCAGGTGGAAGTCCAGGAGATGGAAGTCCAGGAGATGGAAATCCAAACGATGGCAGTCCAGAAGTAGGAAGCCCAGGAGGTGAAAGCCCAGGAGGTGAAAGCCCAGGAGGTGGAAGCCCTGGTGCTGCTCGTAAGTTGAACAGGCGACGAATGGTATTCAAGATTGGCAGGTTTTCGCTGTTCTATGGCAGTTGCATGTCTGTACGGATATAATGCAATACTTGCCAAACAAATTGTGCAATGCTCTACTTGAATGGCGTTTTAACGTGCTGTTCAAACCACTAAAACGTTTCTGCCAGAGGTTGGATTCCTTATGAGCGAAGTACCTGCGGCAACGCTGGATGATTTGGAAAATGAATCGGTGCTGGAAACTCAATTTTAAGGGAATATGTCAAATCAATAAAATTAATGTTGTTAGCAGAGTTTTTGGATTTCGCACCTTTGAGAATCTTATTCCTTAAGAGAGCATGTCTGAGAATACCAAAGTATGTGTGCAAGTGGATCTCTCCGATTTCGCTCAAATTTTGCAGGTAGGTTCCCTTTGGGGTGTGGATCGATTATGCAAAGCCCTTGAAAAAGTTTCTGAAGGGAACCTTGAAATTTGCATACCCCTCAAAAATGGCCGAAATATCACATTATTTATGGGTCTAGAAACGAGTCACGCCACAGCGTATACGAACAAGCTATGAACAAAACTCCATCAAGCCAACATTGCCTCACCTTAGAAGAGTTCCTGGAGCAGTACCGCTTAGCCACGCCAGCATCCCAGAAGACGAGGTCCATCACCCCTTGACGCCACAAATGATCGTCTTGAAAATAGCCAATTTACAAGCGCTGGCAAAACAGCCAGCTACGTCCTCAATTGGCCAGAACTATACACCGGCAGATAGTAGAACACCTCTTCTAGCGCTGAGGACATGTCCCCCATCCTTTTGAGGTTTTCTTGAAATAAACTTTTTTGAATTTTTCCACTCGACCATGCTGAAATACGGCCAAAGTCATACCTGCGCAGGAAAGCTCGCTACTCCGCGACGTCTCCTCAGCAATTTCTACTCCAACACTACTCCCAAGGCCGCAGAACAAAGTGTAGTGTTGACTCTGACAAGGAAAAGCAGCGGTGATCACTTGTCACTCCAAACGACAAGCTTCTCCTTGCGCCACCAATAATTTTTTGTGCGACTGTTGATGCAAAAGTGACGGAAGGCCTGAGCGCAGTTTTTGAATTTTATTGCAAGATGCACGGTGAGATCGCGTACTCTGTGACGTAGGATGACGCTTCCTGCATCACGTTACGCGGCCATCGATCGCGAATGTGCCTGGAAAGCTACTCGGAACAGACCATGATGGCAGAGGTAAGATGAGCTTCATTTCCTGCTTGAACTGCTGAGAACCCCCACAAACTGTCCTAGGAGTGTTGCAATGGCAGCAAGCCGTTGGAATATGCCCCGTACAGCATGGAGAGTTATTCGTCTTTCACACTTACCTCCTGCAATCCCGAACATAGTCCAACAGTAAAAGTCCCTTGTTTTCATGTCGATGCTCGACAAAAGCGACTAGCTCGGTCCCTTTGGCTTTGTGTTGACTGGCACGCGAGCAGCACTGGCTGCACGCACTTGTCGCGTGAACTGCATGAGAGATTTCTTACGTCATAAAGAATGTGATTTCATCATCATTTCACTGGTCTTCGACCTACATGGTCAGGGAAAGTCCCGGTTCGTAGGCCTACAACACGGTCAGCGTGTTCTTGAGCGCCGTAACAACACAAGTGTGATCACTTCCAGACCAACGGAACAAGCGAACAAGCGAGTAACAAGCGCACTTGACCTAAGGTGACTCTGAAATCGCGTGAGCCGTGGACCACGCGACTTGGCATTCTTGCGTCACAAGGCACGTGATTTCACCGTGCATCTTGCAATAAAATTCAAAAACTGCGCTCAGGCCTTCAGTCACTTTTGCATCAACAGTCGCACAAAAAATTATTGGTGGCGCAAGGAGAAGCTTGTCGTTTGGAGAGACAAGTGATCACCGCTGCTTTTCCTTGTCAGAGTCAACACTACACGTTGTTCTGCGGCCTTGGGAGTAGTGTTGGAGTAATAATTGCTGAGGAGACGTCGCGGAGTGGCGAGCTTTCCTGCGCAGGTATGACTTTGGCCGTATTTCAGCATGGTCGAGTGGAAAAATTCAAAAAAGTTTATTTCAAGAAAACCCCAAAAGGAAGATGGGGGACATGTCCTCAGCGCTAGAAGAGGTGTTCTACTATCTGCCGGTGTATAGTTCTGGCCAATTGAGGACGTAGCTGGCTGTTTTGCCAGCGCTTGTAAATTGGCTATTTTCAAGACGACCATTTGTGGCGTCAGGGGGTGATGGACCTCGTCTTCTGGGATGCTGGCGTGGCTAAGCGGTACTGCTCCAGGAACTCTTCTAAGGTGAGGCAATGTTGGCTTGATGGAGTTTTGTTCATAGCTTGTTCGTATACGCTGTGGCATGACTCGTTTCTAGACCCATAAATAATGTGATATTCGGCCATTTTTGAGGGGTATGCAAATTTCAAGGTTCCCTTCTGAAACTTTTTCAAGGGCTTTGCATAATCGATCCACACCCCAAAGGGAACCTACCTGCAAATTTTGAGCGAAATCGGAGAGATCCACTTGCACACATACTTTGGTATTCTCAGACATGCTCTCTTTAACATCCACTATGTTTCTTTCCATGTTTTCTTGCAGGTTGTGAGCACGGTATAGGAGCATTCAGAAATGGAGAGACTTGGATGGATGGCTCTTCTGGTTGTAAACAATGCCGATGTGATAACGGAAATGTACAGTGTGATCGCATAAATGTGGAGTGTCCGTCAGAGGCATTTGGTGTCCCATTGCCATGCCCTGCTGATGCAGTCATACCTGCCCAGGACGCATGTCACTGTCCCAGGTGTCCAAGCACGGAAGGTATGGGTGGATCCTATTAGAAGAAACTCTCAAATAAACACCATAGTTCAAATTCAAAAGCAACTGGCTCCATGTCGTGTATTTGAGCAATGGATGACGAGCTATCACCTTTCTTTATCATTACAAGAGCACGGTCATTCTATTTTCTGTCATCACTCATAGCGCTAGGCATAGCTGATTTTCTCCGCTTGGATTTTTGCTCATTTCTATGCCTCATGATATCAGGTGGAAGTCCAGGAGATGGAAGTCCAGGAGATGGAAATCAAAACGATGGAAGTCCAGAAGTCGGAAGCCCAGGAGGTAAAAGCCCAGGAGGTGAAAGCCCAGGAGGTGGAAGCCCTGGTGCTGCTCGTAAGTTGAATAGGCGACGAATTGTATTCAAGATTGGCATGTTTTCTCTGTTTTATGGCAGTTGCATTTCTGTACGGATATAATGAAATACTTGCCAAACAAATTGTGCAATGCTCTATTTGAATGGCTTTTTATAGTGCTGTTCAAACCGATAAAATGTTTCTGCCAGAGGTTGGATTCCTTATGAGCGAAGTACCTGCGGCAACGCTGGATGATTTGGAGAATGGATCGGTGATGGAAACTCAATTTCAAGGGAATATTTCAAATCAATAAAATGAATGTTGTTAACAGAGTTTTTGGATTTCGAACCTTTGAGAATCTTATTCCTTAAAAATCCACTATGTTTCTTTCCATGTTTTCTTGCAGGTTGTGAGCATGGCATAGGAGCATTCAGAAATGGAGAGACTTGGATGGATGGCTCTTCTGGTTGTAAACAATGCCGATGTGATAACGGAAATGTACAGTGTGATCGCATAAATGTGGAGTGTCCGTCAGAGGCATTTGGTGTCCCATTGCCATGCCCAGCTGATGCAGTCATACCTGCCCAGGACGCATGTCACTGTCCCAGGTGTCCAAGCACGGAAGGTATGGGTGGATCCTATTAGAAGAAACTCTCAAATAAACACCATAGTTCAAATTCAAAACCAACTGGCTCCATGTAGTGTATTGGAGCAATGGATGACGAGCTATCAACTTTCTTTGCCATTACAAGAGCATGGTTATTCAATTTTCTGTCATCACTCATAGAGCTAGGCAAAGCTGATTTTCTCCGCTTGGATTTTTGTTCTTTCCTATGCTTCATGATATCAGGTGGAAATCCAGGAGATGGAAGTCCAGGAGATGGAAATCCAAGCGATGGAAGTCCAGAAGTCGGAAGCCCAGGAGGTGATAGCCCAGGAAGTGAAAGCCCAGGGGGTGGAAGCCCTGGTGGTGCTCGTAAGTTGAATAGGCGACGAATTGTATTCAAGATTGGCAGGTTTTCTCTATTCTATGGCAGTTGCATTTCTGTACGGATATAATGAAATACTTGCCAAACAAATTGTGCAATGCTCTATTTGAATGGCTTTTTAGCGAGCTGTTAAAACCGCTAAAACCTTTCTGCTAGAGGTTAGATTCCTTACAAGCGAAGTACCTGCGACAGCGCTGGATGATTTGGAGAATTAATCTGTGTTGAAAACTCAATTTTAAAGGAATATGTCAAATCAATAGAATTTATGTTGTTAGTAGAGGTTTTGGATTTCGCCCTTTTGAGAATCTTATTCTTTAAAATTCCACTATGTGTCTTTCCATGTTTTCTTGCAGGTTGTGAGCATGGTATAGGCGCATTCAGAAATGGAGAGACTTGGATGGATGGCTCTTCTGGTTGTAAACAATGCAGATGTGATAACGGAAATGTACAGTGTGATCGCATAAATGTGGAGTGTCCGTCAGAGGCATTTGGTGTCCCATTGCCATGCCCTGCTGATGCAGTCATACCTGCGCAGGACGCATGTCACTGTCCCAGGTGTCCAAGCACGGAAGGTATGGGTGGATCCTATTAGAAGAAACTCTCAAATAAACTAGGGGTGAAACGAACGAACGAAAGTTCGAATATTCGTTCGAAAAATTTGAAAACGAACGAACGAACTCGCAAGATTGATAAACGAACACAGCAAGCAAGCATAAAAGTCGCTCAGTGACTAGTAGACTAGATCACGAAGGAGCCGCGGAGGTTGGGAGATCGCTAGCTTGCACGCTGATCGACTGCGTTTGCCTTGATGATCACTTGAAGCAAGTTGAAGGAGTTGAGTGTTGCGTCGGGAAAAAGTTTCTTGAAATATTTCTGTGTGTCCGTTTGAGTTAGATTTGTACTCGTAGTGAAAGGATTTGAGTCGCTTGTGACATCTGTTCCTGAAAGCAAACGTTTACTCGTTGCAATCATGTCAACACATTTGAGCCTTTCATCGCGATCCGGAGTTGGAGCGGAATTTGATAAAGTGGTCGGGAAAGACGAAGTCCTCTTCTCAATTTCAAATAGGTTCTATCACATAGCAGAGCGACGACGAGCGATCTTTGTACCCACCTCAAGAAGTACCGTTCTCCTGCTCTGACGACCTGAGCTAGCGATGAGAAGAAAACTCTCGTCCGGACGATGGTGATGGACTTTGCAGCTAGCTGCAAAACCCTGTGATTCAGCGCAGGCGGACGCGATAAAAAAAAAATTCTGTTCTGGCAATACTGAACTGTGGCCAGCAAAGTACAGAGAACGCCTGTACTGACAGACATGTATGGTCTTCAAAAAAAATTCATCCATGAAATACATAATGGAGAATGTTCGTTCGAGTTCGTTCGTTAGTGTGAGAGTTCGTTCGTATTCAAAATTCGATGTTCGTTTCACCCCTAAAATAAACACCATAGTTCAAATTCAAAAGCAACTGGCTCCATGTCGTGTATTTGAGCAATGGATGACGAGCTATCACCTTTCTTTCCCATTACAAGAGCATGGTCATTCTATTTTCTGTCATCACTCATAGCGCTAGGCAAAGCTGATTTTCTCCGCTTGGATTTTTTTCTTTCCTATGCCTCATGATATCAGGTGGAAGTCCAGGAGATGGAAGTCCAGGAGATGGAAATCCAAGCGATGGAAGCCCAGAAGTCGGAAGGCCAGGAGGTGAAAGCCCAGGAGGTGAAAGCCCAGGAGGTGGAAGCCCTGGTACTGCTCGTAAGTTGAATAGGCGACGAATGGTATTCAAAATTGGCAGGTTTTCTCTGTTCTATGGCAGTTGAATTTGTTTATCGCCCCTCCCCCCGAGACACACACATCATAGCACCATAGAATGGGGTTGCATTTTTGTTGTTTTTTCCATGTGATTAAGCAATCACGAGTGAAACGAGGGTTGCCTGCTGCTCCTCGTTGCTAGTCTTGAAGAAAAAAAAAAAATCACGCCCATCTGCTGCTGCTGCTAGCTGCCAATATTGATGCTGTCCCTGCGTTCGCCACCTCCAACTGCTGAGGTGCCTCGTGCTGTGGCACTACCACACCTTGGTCCGCCCTGCGTTGATCCGGCCTCGTACTCTCGTACTCTGCTCATGCTGCCGTACTCTCGCGTTGTGGCCTCGTGGGTACGTCTTACGCTATTTGCGCTTGCCACGTGCTTATGTGGCCCGCCTTACCTGGTGGGCTCTCGCGCCTTATTTGCCATAAATTATAAGCATGGTGGTGTCTGTCATTGTGGGCCGGGCGGCATCCGGGGACTTCGCCTCTTCCATACGTGGTATGTTTGCTCCGCCACACCGCCTGTTCTATCTTGCGTACTCGGTTAGTACTGTACCTTGGCTGAGGCTTAGTACGCGCGCTGGAGTCCTTTCGTGCCATAAAAGGAACTGCTTCCTAATATAGAGATTAGGCGCCATGAGCCCTGCTTGTAGTAAACATTGCATTAGTAGCGCTGATACCTTTATGCAAATATGGGGTAGTCTCGCCCGCGCATATGGGCGTACTCGTACTGCGGCCTGGGCTTTCCCCAGTACGGCTGCCCGCCATTGCATGCCAGACACCCCCATTGTTGCGCGCCTAGCCACGCGCGTGGCTTTTGCCTGCTGCTCGGTTGTCAGCGATAACTACGGTTTGCCGTACGCTGCAAACCTACATATACGGATATAATGCAATACTTGCCAAACAAATTGTGCAATGCTCTATTTGAATGGCTTTTTAACGAGCTGCTCAAACCACTAAAACGTTTCCGCCAGAGGTTGGAGTCCTTACAAGCGAAGTACCTTCGACAGCGCTGGATGATTTGGAGAATGTATCTGTGTTGGCAACTCAATTTTAAAGGAATATGTCAAATCAATAAAATTAATGTTGTAAGAAGAGTTTTTGGATTTCGAACCTTTGAGAATCTTATTTTTTTAAATTCCACTATGTTAATTTCCATGTTTTCTTGCAGGTTGTGAGCATGGTAAAGGTGCTTTCAGAAATGGAGAGACTTGGATGGATGGCTCTTCTGGTTGTAAACAATGCCGATGTGATAACGGAAATGTACAGTGTGATCGCATAAATGTGGAGTGTCCGTCAGAGGCATTTGGTGTCCCATTGCCATGCCCTGCTGATGCAGTCATACCTGCCCAGGACGCATGTCACTGTCCCAGGTGCCCAAGCACGGAAGGTATGGGGGGATCCTATTAGAAGAGACTCTCAAATAAACACCATAGTTCAAATTCAAAAGCAACTGGCTCCTTGTAGTGTACTTGTGCAATGGATGACGAGCTATCACCTTTCTTTGCCATTACAAGAGCATGGTCATTCTATTTTCTGTCAAAACTCATAGCGCTAGGCATAGCTGATTTTCTCCGCTTGGATTTTTGTTCTTTCCTATTCTTCATGATATCAGGTGGAAGTCCAGGAGATGGAAATCCAGGAGATGGAAATCCAACCGATGGAAGTCCAGAAGTCGGAAGCCCAGGAGTTGAAAGCCCAGGAGGTGGAAGCCCTGGTGGTGCTCGTAAGTAGAATAGGCGACGAATGGTTTTCAAGATTGGCATGTTTTCTCTGTTCTATGGCAGTTGCTTTTCGGGACGGATATAATGCAATACTTGCCAAACAAATTGTGCAATGCTCTATTTGAATGGCTTTTAAAAACGAGCTGTTCAAACCGCTAAAACATTTCTGCCAGAGGTTGGATTCCTTACAAGCGAAGTACCTGCGACAGCGCTGGAGCATTTGGAGAATTTATCTGTGTTGGAAACTCAATTTTAAAGGAATATGAGAACCGGCCAGCGAAAACCAGCACTTGTGTACTTGATATCAATCATCAAAATGTGACGTCAAAGTGTGGGACGGCTTTTGCTGCTGGCTTTTGAAGATTCTTTTTCGATCGAGTGAGTGTCTTTGTTGTCAAAGGAGTTTCAAGTGTCTTCAAATGTCTCTGGTCAATTGATTTTAGCGCTAGGTGAGAGCTCGTCACACGGAGGTTGAGTTTAGACACAGCGATGGCGACAGTTGTCGCGACAAAGACTTAGGTCCAGAGTTGTCAGTGTGAGACTACCTGTACGAAGCGGCGCTGAAAGTTAGTTCGCGATCGGAATTATTTCTTTGGTGGCGATCTCGCTGAGTTTATCCAGCAGTGGCGAGTCTCATATGCATAGCAACGAAGAGCCCTCATAAAATCGACACTGAACACTGGTGGCGACGATAGTCAGTGCTGGAGTAATAGCGACTGCGAGGAGAAGCTGAATATCGACCCGCTGAGCGATCCGCATATCTCCATCGACAACAATGATGTTGCAGACACTCATGGAGGGCTTCTCATGGCGCAAAACAGAGCGTAGTATTATCAGTACTCTACCTTGCCAGACGACGCCAAGCTGGCTGCTGACTGTGCTGAGAAAGGAGATACCGAAAAAGTCAAACCGGCTGAACGCTTTGGGGCAACATCTTCACGTGCTACAAAACGCGAGTATTCGCTCATATCATTGAAATACAATTATGCTGAAATCATGGTCTGAGTGAAAGTGTGCAAGGGAGTGGATGTCAGTGGTATTGGTCAGTACATCAATCAGTATGGCAAGCTTTGGGACAACGCTCAAACTGCCAGCACAGAGGTCCCTGAACACAATTTGGAAGGCCAGCCACGAATCATCGTTTTGCACTCTGGTGTTGTAAAGAAGGTAGTGATGTATACGGAATATCGTCACACTTCTAAACTACTCATGCCTGCAGCACCAAGAGGGCAAGCCTGACTTGCATTCTATTTACTTACATGTACCTGTTCCACATCACAATCATAAATTGTAGGATCAACTTGCATGGAGTCACTAGGCATGGATGCTGCGCCAACTGTACCGAATCTTGACCTGTGTGACTTCAAACTCTATTTTCCATGCTTTCGCTTATCAAATTGTCACCAAACTTGACAACTTGAATGATTAATAGTGTAGAAGCAATTTCGAGGGAAAAAATAATTTTTGAAAAAATTACACATGTTCAGGTTTCTGCTGGCTGGGGCTCATATGTCAAATCAAAAAAATTAATGTTAGCAGAGTTTTTGGATTTCGAACCTTTGAGAATGTTTTTCTTAAAAATTCCACTATGTTTCTTTCCATGTTTTCTTGCAGGTTGTGAGCATGGTATAGGCGCATTCAGAAATGGAGAGACTTGGATGGATGGCTCTTCTGGTTGTAAACAATGCCGATGTGATAACGGAAATGTACAGTGTGATCGCATAAATGTGGAGTGTCCGTCAGAGGCATTTGGTGTCCCATTGCCATGCCCTGCTGATGCAGTCATACCTGCCCAGGACGCATGTCACTGTCCCAGGTGCCCAAGCACGGAAGGTATGGGTGGATCCTATTAGAAGAAACTCTCAAATAAACACCATAGTTCAAATTCAAAACCAACTGGCTCCATGTCGTGTATTCGAGCAATGGATGACGAGGTATCACCTTTCTTTGCCATTACAAAAGCATGGTCATTCTATTTTCTGTCATCACTCATACGGCTAGGCATAGCTGATTTTCTCCGCTTGGATTTTGTTCTTTCCTATCCCTCATGATATCAGGTGGTAGTCCAGGAGATGGAAGTCCAGGAGATGGAAATCCAAGCGATGGAAGTCCAGAAGTCGGAAACCCAGGAGGTGAAAGCCCAGGAGGTGGAAGCCCTGGTGGTGCTCGTAAGTTGAATAGGCGACAAATTGTATTCAAGATTGGCAGGTTTTCTCGGTTCTATGGCAGTTGCATTTCTGTACGGATATAATGCAATACTTGCCAAACAAATTGTGCAATGCTCTATTTGAATGGCTTTTTAACGAGCTGTTCAAACCGCTTAAACCTTTCTGCCAGAGCTTGGATTGCCTACAAGCGAAGTACCTGCGACAGCGCTGGATGATTTGGAGAATTTATCTGTGTTGGAAACTCAATTTTAAGGGAATATGTCAAATCAACGAGAGAGCTTGGAAGCTCAGGGCCCTACGCTAGGCTTTTTTGCCTTCATGACCTAGAAAAAAAAAGCATAGAGATGTTATAAATTCTTATAAATTTCATTTTTTTTTAAGACATAACCTGGGATTCGAACCCGCACTATGGCCCTGCATGCATCCCCGATACACTTCGCATACACACTTTTTTAAAACTTTGTTTTACTTCGCAAAATCCAAACGGGAATTTCTTCCCAATGACAAGGTCATTACTAATTCTTCCAAGTTGCTTCACGTTATGATCTCGCATTTGAACGCCCTATTTGAATAGTCATTGTGGCCAGCCGTCTTTGATGGTACGGTACGGGACAGGTACGGTCGAGGATAATACGACACCGTCTACCGCCTTGATGACCTAGGCAAAAAAGCATAAGGATGTTATAAATTTTTCAATTCTCCTATTTTTTAAGGCATAACCTGGGATTAGAATCCCGCACTATCGCCCTACATGCATTCCCCCATACACGTCGCATTCATACTCATTCTTCCAAGTTGCTTCATAATAATGATCTTGCGTTTGAAAGCCCTATTTGAATATTGCCGCCAGCTGTATGTGGCCAGCTGTGTTTGATGGTACGGTACGGTCGGGGACAGATACGGGATAGCGCCAGGCGCAACACAAAGACACAAAAAACAAAAAAAACACACAAATACAAAATGATAGCTGTGTGGACCCTGGATAGCGCCATACGTTACTGAAGTAACGTCTTCTGCATAGCTACGGGAATAAAATAAATGTTGTTAGCATAGTTTTTGGATTTCGAACCTTTGAAAATCTTATTCTTTAAATTCCACTATGTTAATTTCCATGTTTTCTTGCAGGTTGTGAGCATGGTATAGGCGCATTCAGAAATGGAGAGACTTGGATGGATGGCTCCTCTGGTTGTAAACAATGCCGATGTGATAACGGAAATGTACAGTGTGATCGCATAAATGTGGAGTGTCCGTCAGAGGCATTTGGTGTCCCATTGCCATGCCCAGCTGATGCAGTCATACCTGCCCAGGACGCATGTCACTGTCCCAGGTGCCCAAGCACGGAAGGTATGAGTGGAACCTATTGGAAGAAACTCTCAAATAAACACCATAGTTCAAATTCAAAAGCAACTGGCTCCATGTCGTGTATTCGAGCAATGGATGACGAGCTATCACCTTTCTTTGCCATTGCAAGAGCATGGTCATTCTATTTTCTGTCAAAACTCATAGCGCTAGGCATAGCTGATTTTCTCCGCTTGGATTTTTGTTCTTTCCTATGCTTCATGATATCAGGAGGAAGTCCAGGAGATGGAAGTCCAGGAGATGGAAATCCAAGCGATGGAAGTCCAGAAGTCGGAAGCCCAGGAGGTGAAAGCCCAGGAGGTGAAAGTCCAGGAGGTGGAAGCCCTGGTGGTGCTAGTAAGTTGAATAGGCGTCGACATGTATTCAAGATTGGCAGGTTTTCTCTGTTCTATGGCAGTTATAATTCTGTACGGGTATAATGTACTACTTTCTTAACAAATTGTGCAATGCTCTCTTTGAATGGCTTTTTAACGAGCTGCTCAAATCGCTAAAACGCTTCTGCCAGAGGTTGGATTCCTTACAAGTGAAGTACCTGCGACAGCGCTGGATGATTTGGAGAATTAATCTGTGTTGGAAACTCAATTTTAAAGGAATATGTCAAATCAATAGAATTAATGTTGCTAGCCTAGTTTTTGGATTTCGCCCTTTTGAGAATCTTATTCTTTAAAATTCCACTATGTGTCTTTCCATGTTTTCTTGCAGGTTGTGAGCATGGTATAGGCGCATTCAGAAATGGAGAGACTTGGATGGATGGCTCTTCTGGTTGTAAACAATGCCGATGTGATAACGGAAATGTACAGTGTGATCGCATAAATGTGGAGTGTCCGTCAGAGGCATTTGGTGTCCCATTGCCATGCCCTGCTGATGCAGTAATACCTGCCCAGGACGCATGTCACTGTCCCAGGTGCCCAAGCACGGAAGGTATGAGTGGATCCTATTGGAAGAAACTCTCAAATAAACACCATAGTTCAAATTCAAAACCAACTGGCTCCATGTAGTGTATTTGAGCAATGGATGACGAGCTATCACCTTTCTTTGCCATTACAAGAGCATGGTCATTCTATTTTCTGTCAAAACTCATAGCGCTAGGCATAGCTGATTTTCTCCGCTTGGATTTTTGTTCTTTCCTATGCTTCATGATATCAGGTGGAAGTCCAGGAGATGGAAGTCCAGGAGATGGAAATCCAAGCGATGGAAGTCCAGAAGTCGGAAGCCCAGGAGGTGAAAGCCCAGGAGGTGGAAGCCCTGGTGGTTCTCGTAAGTTGAATAGGTGACGAATTGTATTCAAGATTGGCAGGTTTTCTCTGTTCTATGGCAGTTGCATTTCTGTACGAATATAATGCAATACTTGCAAAACAAATTGTGCAGTGCTCTATTTGAATGGCTTTTTAACGAGCTGTTAAAACCGCTATAACCTTTCTGCTAGAGGTTAGATTCCTTACAAGGGAAGCACCTGCGAGAGCGCTGGATGATTTGGAGAATTAATCTGTGTTGAAAACCCAATTTAAAGGAATATGTCAAATCAATAGAATTTATGTTGTTAGTAGAGGTTTTGGATTTCGCCCTTTTGAGAATCTTATTCTTTAAAATTCCACTATGTGTCTTTCCATGTTTTCTTGCAGGTTGTGAGCATGGTATAGGCGCATTCAGAAATGGAGAGACTTGGATGGATGGCTCTTCTGGTTGTAAACAATGCCGATGTGATAACGGAAATGTACAGTGTGATCGCATAAATGTGGAGTGTCCGTCAGAGGCATTTGGTGTCCCATTGCCATGCCCAGCTGATGCAGTCATACCTGCCCAGGACGCATGTCACTGTCCCAGGTGCCCAAGCACGGAAGGTATGGGTGGATCCTATTAGAAGAAACTCTCAAATAAACACCATAGTTCAAATTCAAAACCAACTGGCTCCATGTCGTGTATCTGAGCAATGGATGACGAGCTATCACCTTTCTTTGCCATTACAAGAGCCTGGTCATTCTATTTTCTGTCATCACTCATAGCGCTAGGCATAGCTGATTTTCTCCGCTTGGATTTTTTTTCTTTCCTATGCCTCATGATATCAGGTGGAAGTCCAGGAGATGGAAATCCAAGCGATGGAAGTCCAGAAGTCGGAAGCCCGGGAGGTGAAAGCCCAGGAGGTGGAAGCCCTGGTGGTGCACGTAAGTTCAATAGGCGATGAATGTCTCTGTCCCAGGAACCCATTAACACAAGATGATGTTCAATACACTCTACCTGTACAGGTCTGGTTAAACATCTCTAGAGGTAACAGAAGCTCAAGCATGTGAAACTTTACCGAAAGGTTCAGTCTTGCAATAAGACGGTTAAGCTGCTTCGAAGTATGAGTTTGGTGTTCATCATAAGGTGTGAACCAGGTTCACCTTCAGGAAAAGTTCAGTTTTAATCTTCTAAATAGAAGGCGGTTGGTCAACTGATTTTTATGTTCATGTCATGACATTGAGATCTCAGAATGTATCACGAACAAGTCTTAAGGTATAATACCGTTTTACTCAAACTATTGTTCTGTTGTGTTTGACTGTGGTTTCAGGGTGTCTGCATGAAGCTCAACAGTATGCACATGGTCAGAGCTGGAGGGACACTTCCTTCGGTTGCCATGACTGTCGCTGTGACAATGGAAACGTGCAGTGCTTTCAGATCATTGTGGATTGTCCCTCGGTGTTTGGTATAACACTGCCGTGTCCTGCTAATATTGTAATACCCGCCAAGGACGCGTGTGGTTGTCCAAGCTGCCCAGAAGGTAACGAACAGCACATTCTATGACGTATTCTTTCGATCATATGTCGCACTTGATTATAAGTCGCACCGCCACCTTAAGGTTTGAGCCTCATTGTTTCAATATATTCGTAAAAGTAGGCTGCAGCACTCGATTGTGCGTCGCATCCCCTTCTTTGCCCCCTAAGTGTGGTGTGAAAAGGTGCGAGTTATATGGGGGGAATACTTTAACTACCTCTCAGACCCTGGACTTCACATCCGCATTGGTGCATGGTGTTGCTCTGCATATATTCATTGTGTTTTGCCTGGTGTTGGTGCTTTGGTGCATCTTTTTTTCTGCCTCATGGTTACGTTCACGGTATCTCCTTAGAGCTGTACACACGCATCTGACCATGAAACAATGGGAATTGTGCAAGGCATAATTGCATGTACACTATAGCTCGCAGTATGAAGTAATAATTTTCTTTGACTCAATCCACCATTACACTACATTTGAGAAGCCGAGTAGCTAGGGTACCTAGGGTTGGTTGTCGCGTTTGTCAGCGTTGAGCTGCGAGCCTAAACAGTTTATTCGAAGCAAGAGACTGATTCATGGGCGTGTAAACGATGAGGAGACAACAGTTTGAATAATGAAATGAATACTGAAGAAACTTTTCATCAACCACCACACCATTGCCTCAACACAACACCAGCTAAGCGACATATCCGAGAGTTGTATACTTGCAACAGACGCCTGAACGAATTCAGTACCAACGGATGTGTCGCTTTCCTGGAGGTGTGCTGTGGCAACGTCGTGTTGAGGTTGGCTGGATCATGGAGGGCGCAGTTATGCTGTGGTGGGTAATGCAAAGTCTGTACAGGGCAAAAAGCTGCTGCTTACCCCATTATCTGATACTGAAGAAAGTCGCAGGAAAACGTGTTTGGACACCAAACCTTCTATGCCATTGGCATTGTGAGTGTACCTGTGATGACTACTACTGGATTTCGTCTTGTTGATCAGCATGTGTTTTTCACCCTGTTTGCAGTGCCAATCGGATGCATCGACTCGTTCGGTCGCTTCCACGACAGCGGAGCAGCGTGGACGGAGCAGCAGACGACAGGCTGCCAGTCGTGTCGGTGTGACAATGGTACACGGGATTGTCAGCATTCCAGAGCCGCCTGTCCTGAGACACAACTCCCTATCGGTACGGCTAATTTTGTTTTAGCACAGAGTAGCGTTGTTCACATCTTGTCTGTGTGCACTGCGATGAATATACATGTTTGTGTGTGTAATTTGGTGCGCCTGCCATGTGAAGATGCCGAGACCTCTGGGCGGTTGAGCATGCATGGCAAGCCCCACCAGCACCATATCACCCCATGCTAGCCCCATGTGCTTGCCGGTGAGTTGTGTATTTTGTCCAAAAAAAATGTACATGTGCATTTACAAGACCGTCGGAAGTAGGTTTTGTTTGGTCTGCTGTTGACTTGACCAACCAGGCCGGTTTTAGGCACGCCTGCTTCAGCAACAGCATTGTATGACGTTGAGTTTTCCAATGGAGCGAGGCTAAACTCTTGGAGGCTAAACTCTGGGAGGCTAAACTCTGGGAGGCTAAACTCTGGGAGGCTAAACTCTGGGAGGCTAAACTCTGGGAGGCTAAACTCTGGGAGGCTAAACTCTGGGAGGCTAAACTCTGGGAGGCTAAACTCTGGGAGGCTAAACTCTGTTGCTTCTCTTGACTATTCTTGTTTACACTTTCCCGTCAAACTATTGAAAGCTTTTGTGTTTGATGGAAATTATGCCAATCATCAGACGACGATTGTCAACAAGCGTATCGTTACATTGCAAACTTGTCTGCTTGAGCTCATCTCTCGCCTTATTGAGAACTTTCGCAAGTATCTAACAGCTAAACTTGTGCAAAGTCTATGATCCGAGTATCGGGCTCATGGTTGCTTATCGTTGCTCAATTCGACCAGTAGTGTTTGGACTGTGCAGAGTATTGCTCGGTGAACAAACAATTGTGAGTTCTCTACCTTCTTGCTGTGGTACGCAATCACAGTTTAGGGAGGCGTCCACCGCAGATGTTATCTATGCCCCGAGATCGCCTAATGCCTTTGAGAATAGTGGTGCCTTAACGATCATTTCACGTTTGGCCTGAATCGGATTGAGAGCCTAAAATGGTGATAAAGCAGAGAGGAAACTCGCGAACACTTTGTCCACATTTTTGATCTGCTTCTCGTACAGGACCAGGACAGTCCTGCACAACGCTGAGTGGCCGCACTTTCGATCACGGCTCGTGGGCGTTGGAGGAGAGACATAACACATGTGTGAGGTGCCAATGTGAAGACGGGGAGAAGCTGTGCCAGGGTTACGCATCCGACTGCATCACGCAGTTTTGTCGGCCGGGATACCGGCTGGGGGTTTTCCCCGACGATCCATGCAATTGCCTGGGCTGTGAAATCATCCCACGTGAGTACACAATGCTGAGATTGGAGAGATACCATTATGTTCGGATAGTGATGCGTAGAATTGAACTCGGATATTGAGCCAATGTAATCATGGATAAATAAAGCAAGGATCAAATGTTACGAGTTATGACAAACTGTCTTTAGTGGACAGTAGGTGATAACGCGTAACATTCGGTCCTTCCATAATTTATCCATAGTAATGTGTAAAAACAAACAAACAATAGGAGGACAGAGAAACTGTTTTAACTCCAAGTCTCAGATGATCGCTTAGTGCGTTAAACTTGGAGTTAAAACACTTTCTCTGCCCTCTTATTGTTGGAACCAGCTCTGCCTCTCGGTATTGAGCGCTCTCTTGGACAGCCTGGAACCTCTCTGTTTTACAAACACCACACACCACTTAAGCTGGTTGTGTTTCTCAACGCAATTGTATAGCCGGTGGTAACGCGGACGTGCCAACTGTACTGTACTGTACACACCACTTGACGGCACAGAGCAGCAAGGCAGCGATGAGACATATGGAATGGCAGGAATGGGGGAGAGGCAGGAGTAGGGGGGGGGGGGGGGGGGGGAGGGAGGCAGGAGTGGGGAGAGGCAGGGGAGCTTGACCTACCATAGGGTCTCGGCTTCAATGCAACCCAAGGGCTCTATCCGGTGCACTACATCAATAGACTGCATGTACAGTTAAACCTGTCAAGGCGACCACTCGGATAAGGCGACCACCTGTCCTAGAAGACCACTGAAACCAGGACCAAGTGATGCTATTTCCAGTCAAATTAACCTGGATACCACCTGGTAACGAAGACCACGTTTCGAAAATCCCTTGTATGGTCGTCTTGAACAGGTTTCAATATTTTGGTGTGCACAATGCTTGGTTTCTCGTTGCCAGCTAAAGAGTTAGAACTAAGCTTTCTTAGAAGACCCTGGTTATGTGTTCAGCAACTACACACTCAATCATAATTAGTTTAGTGATTCCATTAATCCAGTGTGGCATCCGCTCAGACAGGAACCAGATTGTTTGCACACAAGAACCTGCTCCTCTTAAAGTGAAACACTTTCCACTAGACATTGACGCAAGTCAGCTCCACAACACACAATCCAAAACCTGTTATTGACCCATACTTTGAGGCAAACGTACTTTCGACAAAGGGCAGGATATGAAGTGGCTTTTTGAGGTACCCAAGAAAAGGAACGGGGAGAGGGGGGGGAGGCGTAATTCTTGGAACTGCCTCTTTCTGACATTGATGCCATTCTACCATTGTGTGTTTTCAGCGCCTCGGCAAACCTGCTCAGGGCCCAGATCCGAGACATTCATGCGAAACGGAGATGGCCATTGCGAAAAGTGTGAGTGCGAGGCTGGATTCGTATCGTGCCGCAGGCACATCCCAAAATGTGCTGAAAAATGCTACGACGGTTACCATAACGTCATTGATCGTGCTAACCCATGCGGTTGTCAAGTGTGTGAGCAAATACGACCAGGTAAGCCTCTTGGGTGGTCTTAATAATAATGATACAGTAATATGTTACAGATCTCGTACATTATGCATTGACATAACAAGTCTAATATTACTGTGCAACACGCGGTCCCACTGCTGCCTCGGTTAACGATCGCCCGCACCCGCACGTCCGCTATGTCGCGTGAGTAAAGCATCTCCAAGCTGCTCGACCTTGGGCCAGCATGGAGAGCTCGTCCAGGTGGTGCTGAGCAGAACGGACGGTTAAAAACAGAATGGCTCTTATTCCACTGGACTTCATTCTGAGCGGTTTGGCCTTGACTCAGGTTGAGTTCCGCTGATCAGGTCTACCAAGGTTTAACCAGCAGGCTCTCTCAAGATCCAGCCGTACCCATTATCTTACTTCGTTTGTCTGAAGTCATTTTGGCATTAGCGATTCCGAATCTGTTATCGCCCTATATCTAATGACAACAGCATAGAGGACTTTAATTCTCCTGCTCACGTACATGCACCTGTTAAAAGACATCACCAAATGCAGCCTATGGAAATCTGAGGCTGAGATTGACGACGAGCTCACAAAATATGTATCGGAAGAAATAGTTGTACTGCTCATTGTTTTATAAAATTAATTGGCAATCACACTATTATAACGTTAAAGAGAAGCAAAATACTTCGTTGTTCACATCTGCTACCTAAAGTATTTTCTGGATGATAACCCACATTTTGAACACTCAAAATACATGTACACCCAAAAAGGATGTGGGGTACGCCTCATACTTCAATGATCAAATTCACTGTGATAAATAGGGTTGATGTCTCTTTTTCCCGCAAACAAATGAAAGGTGCTCATACTCTCCAGTGTGGATTGTACTCCGGAAACACAGTACCTGGTCTGATCTGGTTTTGCTTCCTCTGTCACTGTGCTGTGTCGTGCAGAGCTCACGCAATCATGCATGGATTCCTCCCGTGTGCGTCATTCGCACGGCGACTGGTACAACGACAACACGGCTGGCCAGTGTAGTGTCTGTCGCTGCGACAATGGGTCCCCGCGCTGTCAGGACAACACTCCGATGTGTAGTTTTAGCTGCGATGCAGGATACCAGTCAGTGGTCGATGAAACCAATCCATGCCGGTGCTCGTGCAAGGCCCTCGCAGGTGAGGCATGCATTTTCAGGCACGTGCAGGAGTGCGTGCAGCATATGAACATGCGGAAGCATGCACGTGTTGCAGTGCGGATCCCGTAATACTGTAAGGCATGCGAAAGACGACACGGAAGTGGACCTAACGATTCCACGAGTGACTTTTCTTTGTTTTAAAATTAGTTCTGTGTTGAGGATGTAATAGACACCCTTAGCAAAAAACGTTATGTTGTAACGGTATTATCGTAAGGGGGAAAATACCGTGATTTGGGTTCGACCTTTAGCAAGATGCACGCTATTTTTAGTACGCTGTTGCCACGAGAATAGCTTTGATTTCGCGCGGTACAACCATTTTTGTCACCATATACGCGATACAAGGTGAAATGCGTACGGACTATGCAATATTTGGCCAAAACACGTACCGTTGGTCACAACGATAAATCAGCCCCCATAACGTTTATACGCTGCAGCTTCAACGCTATTTGGGTGATCAAGGTACGAGTACCGTAAAAAATACCGTTACCGTTGTTTGCTAAGGGTGTCAAATGCCTCGTATATGCGGATAATAAAATTATTATGAAGGAATGGTCCCAGGATCAAAGCCCCGTGGCCGTCCCCGCCACAACTGGTTTAGGAGTTTCAAGGAGTGGTCCAATATGTCATGCAGTTCTCTCTCTCTCTCTCTTTCTCTCTCTCTCTCTCTCTCTCTCTCTCCCTCTCTCTCTCTCTCTCTCTCTCTCTCTCTCTCTCTCTATCTATCTATCTATCTATCTCTCTCTCTCTCTCTCTCTCTCTCTCTCTCTCTACTGATGCTGAGAGCATCGAATATAGACAGCTTGTTTATGTGTACGTAGCTTCTTCTATTGCCAATGGCAATTCAATGCCCCTACGACCGATATGTGTATGGGTGATACATGCATACATGCGGGATGGTAACCCAGGGTTACGGTCCCTATTGGCAAACAAAATCATCAAACTCTTTTAGCCTCGTTGCTCTAGTTTCGACATTGGTGTGCTCGTTCTCTTTTTGTTTCTCTTTTCTGCACCAGGGTGTACGCACAGTGGCAAGAAATATGCTCATGATGCAACGTGGATGGATGGATCATCCGGCTGTCGGGATTGCCACTGTGTGAACGGAGAGGTGCGCTGCCAGGCAATAGCAGTGGACTGCATCCAGGAATTCGGCGGCGCGCTGCCGTGCCCTTCCGATGTGGTTATACGGGCCAGGGACGGGTGCGAATGTGACCGTTGCCCAGCGAGTAAGCACACGTTCACATCTGTCTCCGTGTATGTAACATTCACCCACAACTGGCATGTGTTCCACGAGTTTTCTTTTGCGCTCTGGAAAATGCTGCTTGCTGGAACCTTGAATATGATGACAGCAGTGTCAGATCACAAACTTGTAAGACACAGGGAGAGGGTGAAGTACAAAATTCGTACTGGAAAATGTACTCACAAGTCATTATAGCATTTCAATGGATCAACTTCAGGAGAAGAAGGTGCGGTGCTAGATGTTCTGGAATGTGCCGGTTGATAAACCTTTGGTTTGTTGAGAGCAGTGTCCGAACCCAAACTCGGAACATATGGGAGATGGGGAGACGGGGAAGTGCACAAAGCACACATAGGATTACTGTTTTCTTGGATTTGAAATATAATAATTATGTACAACCACTATTTCGTACAACAACCAGTCACTATGACTCACTATGACTCACTATGACTCACTATGACTCACTATGACTTTTGATTGTAGCATTTGAATGGCACATGGATTCAGTGAATGGGATTTTCGGTCTTTGACCACATGCTGGTGAGCTGATCTACTCACCTCCCACCGCTTTAGGAGCTGCATCTGCGCCTTGATCCTTGAAGGGTGGTGGCGTTCCTACAAATGCGGAAAACTCGGCCTCTATATAGATACGCCGAATCTCACGCGAACCGCAATTTTTTTGGAATGGCACTGTTTGAAAGAGGCGAAGGGGAGGGTGACTCTGTGTGCACTACCTCAGGGCACATCATGCTCGAGAAAATGCACATTCTCGCTCTGAGACCAGAACATCATCCGTCAGAACCAAAGCTCGTATGGTGCACAACGACCTCTCTCCAGATCACCCACCTGGTGGTGCGTAGCTCGCAGGGGGCATGGGGCATGGGGCAAGGGGGGGGGGGGGGGGGACGTGCACGCCCATCCGCCTAAATCGTTTCGCCTAGGTTCAGGCTCAGCATGCAAATAATTACCATGAATGACATGCACAAGACATCCTACACATATGCGGCCATGCACACCCCCCCCCCCCCCTAAAAGGGGGACCAGTGACGCCCCTGTCCCATTACGTTCAACCCTGATTTAGCTGCAATGTGCTGATGCCAATGATCTGTGAGAGTTCATGTAGCAATTTCTATTCTGTTGTGTGCGTTCTTTGCTTTCCAACCAGACCGGGAGACGTGCCCCAGCCAGGGTCTCAGGTTCTGGTTCAAGCGCAGTGTGATCTGCGAGCTGTGCTTCTGCGCGGCTGGCCGATCCAAGTGCTTGGAGAGCCATCGCAAGTGCTCGCCGTGTGGTCCTGGTCAAGTGGAGTATCCGCATCATGATGTGTGCTCATGCCCGACTTGCTTACCCGCATCAGGTGAGTGACTTTAGTAGGCTTTGCAAACAGCTGTCATCTCAATCACTGTGCCTTTGCAAGTTTCCAAAAAGTACCTATAGTTATCATGCCGTGTAAGAAGTGTTCACTTTTTTGGTGTTTGTTATTCTGCACCTTGTGTTGTAAGTACTTCAGTACCACCCCCCACCCCCGCTCCTTGAAAATGCCCCAGTGTTGCCAGAAATTTCGGATCTGTTCTCTGTCCAGAATTCTGGCCAGACGTTCTCATAATCTCCCACTCGCTCACATTTTCTGCGTCATGAGACGTATCGACCTGCTGGACGAAACACAGCTCAGGCAGTGAAAAATTCTGCTTTCTAATAACTTTATTATTATTGGTCTGCCTTGAGACAATACTTGAATTGTGCCTAGTGGTTGTAGTCAATGTAGGAAGGGCAGAAGATGTGCAAAACTGCCCTGAAAAACCATTCCAGATCCAGATCAGCAGCTGCTCAGATGTGATTGTATGTGTTTGTGGATGGAAATGTGTGTGTGTGAGTGGGGGGGGGGGGGGGGGATATACAGATTTTGCATTGTTGTTGTATGGTGTAAATGACGCACTCCATGTAGCTACACGTTGAGCTCATAACAGTAGAGCTTTTACAGTAGCGGATCTGTGACATTGCCATGGTTGACTACCAGTGTTCATTTCTTATTATCGCCTGTGGTTTGGCGAGGCAGGAAATGTGGAACAATAAAAAGTGAAAATACAAAAAAAGTCAAGTGCTGCACCCAGCACCTGGCCATTATCATCTGGTCATGTGCCTAAGCAATCAAACCACCCAAAATAAATAATGCCAACCACTGCTCTGTCCGTTCTCTGCAGATGCTGCACCGTAGTACTCCTTTGCCGTCCGTCTCAAACACATGCAAGACCGTGTTGAGATGCCATGGCAGGCCATCGAACACACAGACAACACCCAATATTATCATCGTGCAGGACACTCTGCAACAAACCAATGTTCCTAATCTCCGATTATGCCTCGACTTCTTGCTTTTAGAACCCTACTGAATGGGTTGAAAGCGAGTTGTGGCCGAGATTATTCTTCTCTTGTAGCCTTGTTTTTTTGTGGCTACGATGTAGTTACTGCGTTTCGCTTCGAACTCACAATTTTTAATAATTTTTCCAGAAACATTCTGCCCGCTTTTCTGTATATCATCCGTACTTCAAGGTATATGAATTGTTCTGTCGCTTTCAATGGATCGCTCCAATGACTCTAAATGCGCTGTTCCTGCATGCAAATGCTGTCTGTTGAGTAATTTCAATTTTAATTGAAATCACTTAATTGAAATTACTCAACAAGGTAGCACTTTCACCTTGCTGTCTTCCGGTCAAATCCGTGCAGTAAAAATCAATCTTCAGATTTCACTAGCTGCTTATGTTCCTGTGCAGATCTGGATGGGAATGAGCAGTAGGAGCGCTTTGCCGGATGATTTCCATTATTCCTGCGCTCTCCCCTACTCGTCTTCTGTCTTACCTTCAGAGCCGTACCGTAAAATCTATTGTCGAATTCACTAGCAGTTTTGAAGAAGATCTCTTTTGCCTCTATACAATTGTTTTGCCAGGCTGCTGCTGGTTCATTGTTGAAATAAACCATCTCCCGAATATGTTTCAGGGGTTAACAATCTTGTTTAATTTTTGAATTGGAAAAAAAAATGTGAACAAAATAGCAGCCTGAAATGCTAAAGCTGGCTCGCTGATATGGAGTTTTCCCGTTATACCCAGCGGGTTGCTTGTCCCTTCACCTGTCTTCGAGCTGGGCACTTGACCTCAGTCAGTCACGAACATCCAGAGTAGTGAAACGTATACTGTAAAAATCATGAAAAGCAGCGAGAGAAGTATGTTGTACTCTTGGCCAAACCGCGTCAGCCATTGGAGTTCAACTTTCTTCTTTGTTCACTGCCGAAGAGGCAATCTGTACTCGGAAAGAGGTCACCTTCTGTAACGGTGTTATTTCTGTAGTGCTTGCCAATGTTACGGTCCATTTCACTGTTTAAAGTCAGTTGGGAAGGCACGCCCTGGCATACATGTACATTGAAACCTGTCTAAGACGACCGCTCAAGGGACTTTCAAAATGTGGTCTCTGTTATCATGTGGTCTCCTTATCCAGGGTCATTTGACTGGAAATTGCATCTCTTGGTCCTGGGTGCAGTGGTCCTCTGGGGCAGGTGGTCGTCTTATACGAGTGGTCGCCTTGGCATGTTTTACTCTATGTCAAGGGGGCAGTCATTTATATTGCTCTGGCAGCATTTTACATACTGGCATGCAGGCTGTAACTAAGGAGAAGTAGCTTGGGCCTTTGTTGTGTCAGATTAGGAACGTGGTTCACCCTGAGGATGGGCCATGGCCGAAAATTTGACGAGTTCAGTTATGTATCTATTTTGAAGTGACGTATGCAGCGAAGAGACCGTATTCGGAAAGTTCGAGTTGAGGTACCGTAATTCTCGATTAGGAACACCCACAGCGACTGAATCACTGCCAGGAAAGTAAGGCACTTCACTGAGCAGCCTGAAGGATCAGTCTGAAAGCAGTGCAAATGTGTAAACGGTTCCATTGTTCGGCCGGTTGCTGGCAGACGATCTTGTCTCGTTTGTACTGCGATCTCATACACCCACACCATCATGCCTCGGTATGGCTCCTTGTACGGAGCAAGGAGTCGGCTCAGTCGACTTGCTGTGACCTGTGTAACAGTGCATTCTAATTCTAAAGCAAATTGTCCGATGATGATAAATGAACGCTAAACCCCATGGCTACTACTTGCACAGGCACATATTTAAACCGCCCGTTTGCAGCCTTAGGGACATCATTTGACTACCTGACGAAGGCCATTGGCCGAAACGTTGTATAATGGAATGGTTCGGAAATTTGCAGAGTATTGTGGAATGGGTGGGTTCACCCAATTGGACTTGAGATAAAGAGGCTAGTGGAAACGTCTGCAGCCGTAGAGTTGCTGTCGCGTGGGGCAATATCATCAGCGAATTGGATGCTGGGGGTAGGGCTCCACACAGAAGGGACAGCACGGGTGTATATGGTAAAAAGCACGGGTTCCAGCACTGAACCTTTCGGTACTCCACAGGAGCAAGGCGTGGCTGGATTTACAGAGGGGCCGATTGCTATTTGCTGCGCCCGATCGGTCAAGTAGCTTGAAATCCAGCGGAGCACGGATCCGCTCACACCAAAGTCGAATAAATCTTGCTGAAGCAGAAGGTGCCGTACCTTGTCAAAGGATTTACACATGTCATGGGTGCAGACGGCTGTCACCTTCCCTCCGTCCTTTGCAGCGTACAAGCTATCTGGGAGCAAGCAGAGGGCATCCTCAGTGGAGTGGTCCTTTCGGAAGGCAAACTGTGTGTCGGGCAGGCATTTGTTGGTGGCTAGGTGGTTGACAAATTGGCGCTGGACGACCTTTGCAAGTGACTTGGAAATGATCGGCAATAGGGACACGGGCCGATAGTTGTTAGGAAGTGAGGGATCTCCAGATTTATGGAGAAGTAACACAGTAGCGAGTTTGAATGCAGTTGGGACGGATCCAGTACGCAGTGAGGCACAGAATATGTGAGGGCGGTCTTTGTAGCTGTGGGCATGGCGGCCAGAGGTGAGCCAGCCCTACTACTAATCGATACTTACTACTAATAGTACTAGTCCTCTTGGCCACGCCGAAGGGCTATCAGAACGCCGTGGAAATTAAAAACTGCGGAGCTCAAAAATTTGCTTAGACTTCACTCCATGCAGTGTGACTGTGCTGTGGATACTTAGCCTGATCAGGTAAGACCTGAACTACATGACTTTCCGATGCCCAATCATACAGGTGTGTCTACGTGTTCAACCATGCACTATTACTTATTAGTTAGTGCGAAACCGACGTCATGCAGCAAACACATCACCCTGTTTTCCATGCTCCCCATCATTACGCCATCATTACGTAAGCATAAAAAACACTTTTAGAGTTTAGCCTGTGCGCATACAACCCACTGGTCTGCTACCTTTTGTAAAATTCAAGAGAGGGGACAAGTGAATAGATTGCCGAGCCCAAAACGCGTGGAGCGCCCTTGTTTCAGACCACCAGCGTCCCCGAAGAGCAAAAGTCACTAAGCTTTTTGATGTCACTAGCACACGACTACACTATGGTACACGAGATATGTAGCTTTCGAACCAGTAGACAGTTGACTCTTTGAAAAGCAGCCGGTCAGATCAGATTTTCGTCCTCCTAAGAACATTGTGTGCCTATAAGATATCGCCACTTCCAATTTTTCCTTCCGCTCAACTAGGTAAGGGTTCAGTATGTCGACACAATACAATCTCTATAATTATTCAGTTCAATTTGTACGTAAAAGTACTGATTGTTGCTTTCCTTTAAAAACCGTGGGAGCGACATTCTATGCTGCTTCCTTCGTGGCAATTTGCTCTTTTTCGGCCGACTTTAATTCTCACTTGACTGACTCTGTCGTCCAGTGGACAAGATAAGTTGGTTGGTTGATTGGTTGGTTTATTTTAATTCGCACAGCAAACGGGAATTAGGCCCAATGATATAAAGGCGAATGGATAAGCCGCATTTAGAAAAGAAGATACGTCCATTGAACATTCCAATCTGCAAGGCTGCAAATATGCATTACTCCGTTCTTGAGCCAGTCTAGCGTTACGTCATGTCAGCGGAAAATAGGCGAGGTCCAGCAGGGAGAAACCAAAATTCATTTTTAAAACGACAGGACCGTACTAATTGTTGTTTTCTTCCTTTTATGCTGCTGATTTTATGAAAATTCATGGTCTGCCGACAATACTGTGTATCGATACTGTCAACATTTGGTTTGTGAGCAACATTGGCTCAAACTCATACACTCATATAGTCGGTTTGTGAGCAAAATTGGCTCAAACTCATACAGTCATGTTAAGATAATCCAATTAAAATTTTACAAGATGCAAAAGAATTATCTCGTGTGAGTTTGTGTGTTAAGTTCACGATTGTGCGCATTGTGTTCATATTCTCTTTTGTGCTTATGTCGGTGGCGTGAAGTCAGTCGAAAAGAGTAAGTATCGAACAAACCAGCCGTGCAGGCCTGGCTACCTTGGCAATGGATGACCATGGATTAGCAGCGAGTGTTCTGGAAAGTGTTCACTTGGAGGTGTGTCAAGAAATCGTGTTGGCAATGGATGATCATGGATTAGAAGCGAGTGGACTGGAAAGTGTTCAGTTGGAGGTGTGTCAAGAAATCGTGTTGGCAATGGATGATCATGGATTAGAAGCGAGTGGACTGGAAAGTGTTCACTTGGAGGTGTGTCAAGAAATCGTGTTGGCAATGGATGATCAAGGATTAGAAGCGAGTGGACTGGAAAGTGTTCAGTTGGAGGTGTGTCAAGAAATCGTGTTGGCAATGGATGATCATGGATTACAAGCGAGTGGACTGGAAAGTGTTAAGTTGGAGGTGTGTCAAGAAATCGTGTTGGCAATGGATGATCAAGGATTAGAAGCGAGTGGACTGGAAAGTGTTCAGTTGGGGGTGTGTCAAGAAATTGTGTTGGCAAAGGATGACCATGGATTAGCAGCGAGTGGACTGGAAAGTGTTCAGTTGGAGGTGTGTCAAGAAATCGTGTTGGCAATGGATGACCAAGGATCAGTGGCGAATGGACCGGAACATGTTCCGTTTGATGTGTGGCACAGCACCTTGTTGTCAATGCTGTCTATTCCAGATATATTTCAGCTGTGTGCTGTCAGCGAATCCATGCGACGGTTGCTGCTCAATGAGTACACGTTCAGACGAGTTTGTCTGGTGAGTAGTAATGTCAGATTAGGGTTTGGGTGTGTTTTGGTAATTCCCTGTCCGTGACCGTGTTTGTGAGTGAACCCTCATTCCATGTTTTAACGTCCAAATGGACCCTATGTTATGGGTTTTTGATATTATCATTATTTACTTCACGACAATCTCTCTTTTCGTGTATAGAAACACTCATCAGACAGCGTGATATAGGGACCGACAGATTCTGCTCGAAAAGGTGGCAAATTCTGCTCGAAAAGCAGTGAAATTTGCAGAACCATACAAACCTTATGCCGGACAATTCCTCGAATTCTGCTCCATTTTTTTACCCACTTACCAAACATGCATGAAAATTACCAGAAAAAGTACCGAATTCTGCCAATTTTTCTGCCGGCAGAATCCGCCGGACCCTAGCGTGATATGACCAAGACTACAATTCACTAGAATATGAGTATACGGACGGGTCTTGAGAAAAGAGAGCAGAGGTGATGGATATTCAGAATTTCAATATCGAGGGAAAAGGAGGGGGCAACATATCAGGTTGATTTTGCATGTCAGGGAAAAACGGTGTTACAAATCAACTACATTTATATGTAGGGCTATACGTGTTGTGCACAGTTATTGCATGAGTTGCTTGGCAAGTAACAGGGGGTGTTAGTGGACGCTATAGCGTAACTTGTAGGTCTTTGGTCATTTTTGCCATACATTTACATGACACTGTTTTTAGTGTAAGTCTTCATTGTGCTGTTTATGTGTGTCCCGTATATGCAGCAACGCTATCCGCTCAGTCCACGTTTGGACCTGTCATATATTAGAGTCGCAAAAAGTCTGCATGTCGCAGACACAATTGCCCGCCTGT